TCGACGCTCGTCTCGGGGCCCGGGCGGTCCTGTCCTTCGAGGTGAGTGTCTTATTCTACTTCCCGCTCGGCTTCTAATCCTTGTTGTTTCTTGCAGGTTCACCGCCCGATAGAGACCAAATGAATCACGCCGAGTGTTTGAAGACAAGGAAGGCCAAAGCGGCCGCTGCTAAAGCCGCACTGGCGAAAGCCAAGAATGCCCCCGCCTCGGAGTCCAACTCCTCGGCTTCTGACGCTGCCCGGCGAACTGCCGAGGGTGAGCAGCACCTGATTGCCACTATGCTGGCTCAGGGTTCCGGGGCCCCTGCTCTTGAAGCTGCCCTTCCACCGCCGGCCATCCCGACGAAGACGGTTCCTCTGAAGGGGGCGGAGAAAGCCCCTGAGAAGAAGCAGAAGAGGGGCCGTGAGGCAGCCTCCTCCGGGCCTCTGCTCGAAGACGCCGGCTCTCTGCCACTAAGCTGGCCGGCGGAAGACCTCTGGAGGGAGATGGCCCTCAATGCCGGTCTTGAGTTGCCCCGCCGTTCGTCGTCTGAGGCGACCAGTGCTGCCCTGGCCGCCGCTCTTCAGGTATTCCTTCTTTACCAGATCTGAACACATCTTTCCCTTGACGTTCATCCTCTAATCATTTTTCCCTTCTGTCATCCAGTCGGGGCTTCTAGTCCTTCAGGCTGAAGCTGCCAGGGAGGCCGATCTGAAGGAGGCCAAGGCTAAAGCTGATGCGGCCGTTGCTGCGGCACGGGAGGCCGCCCGTCGAGCTGAGGCGGAGGCCGCAGCCAAGGGGAGGGAGATTGCCGCCCTGCAGGCTGAGTCTCACAGCCAGTTGGCCGGCCTTGAAAGAGCCGGTTTTAAGCTTGTTCCGGTGCTCCCTGCCGCCAAGGATGCCACTCCGGAGTGGTTGGTTGACACCTCCGGCTATCGGAACACTGGGGAGTTCATGGACTCCGCCAAGGACTACTGCGCCGGGGTTTTCGCCGATTTGTTCGCCGCAGCTCTGGAGAAGATTCCGCCCCGCCAGCGCCTGGCCCGCGGCGTCCGGATCCTTGAGGGCTCTCCCCTGTCTCGCAAGTTCCTATATGAGGTCGGCGACAGCACCTACGCCGCCGGCTACAATGAAGGGGTAAAGGCCACCCTACCCACATTCGCCAAGCTGCTGGGGCCCGATTTTGACTTGGCGGCCAACACGGATGACGATCTCCTAATCCAGGCGCTAGGGAAACTGAGGAGGGATCAGCGCCGGGAGGAGGCCAAGGCCAGGGGGGAGATTCCAGAGCCGCCGACCCCCGAGCCTGAGGAAGAGGAGGAGGAGCCGAACAAGGGCAGCAGCCGCCCAGGGTCCCCTTTCTTTGTATAATGTCATTTACATTTTTCCATTCCAGCTATTGTAATGTCCGGCCGTAAGTGCCGAAGAATACAGACGTCTTTTTGCCCATAATTGTTCTATGTTCATGATTTCTGCCTTGTTATTTTCATTCCCTTTGTCCTTCGTTGTATGGAAAACCCTTTCGGCGGCCCGACACGCCTTGTAGCAAGGTCAGAGTCCGAGAGGACGTTCGTATCTGACCTCTACTTGTTTCCAGGCAAAAAGCGTCCCGAAGTCAAACCTCCGTACGTACTCAACGTGTTCTGACAATGGAGCGACGCTCGTCAGCGGTTTATGGTGCATGCTCGAAGTGTAGACATAGGAACGTATTTCTCAGCACCAGCACTTGATAACGATGTCCGTCCGTCGTCGCGTGATATGAACATTCAAAGCGCGGGACGTTCGTCTGTTCTGCGTGTTCATCTGTCATGAAGTGTGGAAAGGCGACGTTCATCCTCCGTGCACCGCTAATGGACGTGATTCTTCCTCCATCCTTTTTGTGTCCATTGTTTGTAGTATAAGGAATCATTCCGGCGCCTCGACACATCTTTACCGCCCACGCGGTATCTTGACAATGGGAAGACGTTCGTCGGTAGCTGTCTTGTCAGTATGCGTCTCGAGTATGGACATACGGGTGTATTTCACTGAAACAGCGCTTGGTGACGACGCTCGTCTACAGTTGCGTGACGTGAAAACTGGAGTACCGCAAGACGGACGTAGCCGGTTGATGCGTGTGCCCTCATCAGCCGCCAACGCTAGGGTCAGCCGGAGGATTACGGAAGCAATGGAAGGCGAATGTCTCCAAATTCCTCGGAGCCGGTGAGCCCTCCTCAAGGGACGTCCGTGGCACGGACCCGGATGTCTTGTGGTGGTTATGCGGCGACAAAATCGAGACGCCTTAAATACTGTGGTAGGTACCGGTACCCAGGTGCCACGTGTCCCGCTTCGGTTGGGGCAATTCTGCGGTGTTGCCTATAAATACCCAGGGCCCAAGTGATCCACTCACATTTCTCCTTACGCTGCTCAATTGTTTTCTCTCTCTAGATTTCTCAAATACCAAGATCGGAAATCTCGAACCCAAAAGGTACCGTTCGTTGACATGTCTTCCGAAAGTCGCTTTGACGATGGATGTTCTTCCGGTGATGACCTGGAGTATTATGAGCGGGGAATGCCACCCCGGCCTCCCCGTTATAGCCTCAGCTTCTCATGCGTCCGGCGTCAAGTTCAACGCCTGACGAACGCTGACAAGCGACTGATCAGCCAATGGTTTTATCCCCCAAGGACCTACGACGATCGGCGTCTACGAAACCCCATGCGCCACCTGCCCGGCTATGTGGTGGTCCACCTAGATTCGGTGATAGCCGGGCTGAACTTCCCCCTGCACAGCTTCCACTTGGAACTTTTCAGGGCCCTTGAGATTGTTCCTGCGCAGCTCGTCCCCGCCGCTTATCGGATAATCGCTGGCTTCATCATTAGATGCCACAGCGTCGGTGTGACCCCCACCGCGGACCTGCTGCACCACTTCTTTCGTCTGTCCACCTTCGGACGTACAGGGTATTTGACCCTGACTGCCCGTCCGTCCATGGTTCTGTTCTCGAACAACGCTGGGAACCCAGACGGTTGGGAAGAGCGCTTCTTCCTGGCCGGAGTAGGCTCACCGATGCCATTCTCTGATCGGTGGAATGCCTACCCTGTGAAGACGATCCCGCCGCCCATGACGGGCGAGGAGCTTGGATATGCCAAGCGCATAGCCGGACTTGGCATCCAGAACCTCCGGTTGCTGGTGGCCGAGCCCTTCAAAGCTTAGGCTGGATTAGGTGCGTCCGTTTGTACTTGTATTGTTTTAACCTCTCTTCGCTGTTATGGTTCTGAACGTCTTGATCCCCTCTATGCAGGAGTTTTCCCACCCACGTCCATCATGCGCCGAGATAATACCGCTCCGTCTGCCGCCGGTCGTGGGCACAAGGGGCATGACAAGCCCGGGAAGCCGCTCGTCCCCAAGGTTGAAACTCGGGTGATCAGGGCCCGGACTGAGGATGATTTGGGCGCCGGCGTCTCCAAGAGGCCGCGCGTCGAGGGTACAGCCTCCAAGGCCATCATAGTAGCCGACGACTCTGATGGTGAGCCCGGGAGCCCCCTTAAGCGGAAGCCTGTCTCTCGGGGCAAGTCCCGTCCTTCTCCCCCACGAACTTCTGATGTTCGTCGTCTCCGGGATGATGATGCCCAGGTCGCTAAGGGTTTTGACGATGCTCGTCCTCCTTCGCCCCCACAAGCCAATGGGTCCTCCCTTGGTTTGATTGAGTTCTCCGGGGTTGGTCCACGCAAGGAGTCAATGATGCTCTTTGGTCAAACAGCATCCTCTATATGGTGCGGCCTGAATCTCAAGGTCCCCCAGGACTTCGCTGCTCAGGAGGCACCCGAGGACCTTCTGGAGTGTGGTCAGAGCACTTTGGACAAAGCCGGGCTCTACTTCCACAGGGCCCGGATGGCCTTCGAGCATCAAGGCAGGGAAATGGCCAGGGTCCGGGCCGAAAGCGACGCCCTTCTGAGGAATGCAAAAGGCAGGGCCGGCACTCTTCAAGAGAAAGCCGATGCCTACGATAAGCTCGTCCAGGAGAATGCCTCTCAGAAGGAGCTCCTCAAGAAGCAGGAGGCCGAGCTCGTGGATCTTCGCAGCCGGATGTGGGCCGTGGAGCAGGCCAAGGTGGAACTCCGCCAGACGGGCGTGGACAATCATGTCCCTATTTATGAGGCCGATGTTGCCAAGATCAAGGAGTCTGGTTCCATTGCCTTTCAGAAATCCAAGGCTTATACTGGCGCCATCCACACCATGGCTATGAAGTTCCTCCCGCGGCTCGTTGGCGAGTTCCTGGCCACCTGCCCGGATGCCTACCAGGATGGGGTTAAATTGCTCCAGGCCACCCCCACCGGACGTCGTTTCCTTGACGATCTCGCCGATGACACCTACCGCAAAGGTATGGTTGGGCTAGTAGTGGAGAATCTCCCGACGTTCGAGCGTCACTTTGGGGCTCCCTTCGATCCGGAGGCGGCTGGTTTTGACGTCTTGATGGCAGACGCTCATGCAGGGGCCCTCGAGCTGCTGAAGGAGCAGGCGGAAGCCAGAGCTAGTCAAGAATGCAAGCAGGCTCTTTCCAAGGTTCCAGCTCCGGACGTCGATCAAAAGTGATTCTCCGTTCATGACCTTGTACTTGTACAATTTTTCCCATTATTTTCATTGTCTTGTAATCTTCCGGCCAATAGTACCGAAGAATAAAAGAATCATTCTTTGCTCCTTGCTCTTCTGGCTCTTTTTTTTTTTTTTTTTTTTTTTTTTTTTTGGAGTCTTTTAGTCTTCGTTCGTCCTTGGTCCCTGGTCCCACCGGCGTCCCTACTTCGAGGAGACGTTCGGTGTCCGCCGACATCGCAAGGATGAACGGGTTTATCTACATCGAGATTCCCCCCTTTTCGTTCGTCCGTGGTCCTTTTAGCCTTACCGACGTCTCTTGCTTCGAAGAGGACGTTCGGTACCCAAGGACTCGCAGGGACGAACAGGTCTACCCTCACGGGTCCCCGACTTTGTTACCCCACGTCCATCGATCCATGGTCATTTGTGGGATAAACAGGTTTATCTTGGCAGGCTCTGTAACACCCCGATTTTAGTAAGCTAGTTATATTAATCATTTTATTTTTTTTAGTCAGTTAAATAAGTTTATTTTATGAATGATGTGATTATTATTAATCATGTATTGTTATGTCAGGTAACGTTGACCGGTAAGCTCCAGAAATCATAAATGAATAAGTAAATAATATGCTGAAATTATCAGTTTATATTTATCTTTAGAATATTTTTTTAATCAGGTTAAAATTCTACTTTCAGAACTATAAGCATTTTTTAAGCAGACTAAGACACCCAAATCAGTTATCTTGGCCGAATCGGTGTTGTGGTTAAGAGCCCTAAAAGGAGCAGTTTATACACGTAACACACCGCCTTTGTTTCTTTTACCAACAACAGTAGCCGCACCGCCTTATTATCGATCGGGAACCAATCTCCCTTATCTCCCTGTTTTTCCTCTTTCTTCCTCTTCATCCAAAGGTTTTCTAATCAGTATTTTGTTGAAGCTCCTTGGTCCCTTGTGTCATCGGCTCTTGTCTAGTAAGTTAATTATCACTCTTCTATGCTTTTGCTAAAGGTTTTACTCTCATGATTTTAGAGTTACGTTCAAAACGAGAGGGATGTTTTGGCCGGACAATTTTCGCTACTAAGGTCTGGTTTTTAAATCTGGCAGAATCCTTGTTGTCCGTTTGGAATTTTAAAAAGAAAATTAGGATTCAAAGACAAAACCTAATTTTGTTGCTAACGTTGTTAAAACCCAGGCAGCTGGACATTTTATGTCCTATAGCATCACCTAAATCTGATTTTAAGAGATTTAAGCTATTGGATAGATACTTGCTCAATTGTTTAGCATATGGGTCATATTGTTAATGTCTGATTTTGAATTTAAGTTAAGAGTTTAAGTTGCCAAATTAATATCCTGTAACCTCTTATTCGTATGGTGAAAAAGGATTTTTACATCCTAATTTAAAGTTCATATTCATACAAACGTATTTGAAGTTATTAGGAGCAGGTTTAAGGAGCAGGAGTCTATTTCACTTTGTTCATTGTTTTCCGATTTCAGAAAATTTAAATTCCTTTTACTCTTTAGTAAAAGCACAATTTAGAGTTTAAGTGGAAGTAGACTTTATTCATAAATGATGAGAACGAGTATCCTTTTGAAACTTTATGCTTACAGATTCTTAAGAAAGAAAAATCATTTTGTTTAAAGTATTAGTAAATGTTGGAATTTTCTAAAAGGATAGAATGTTCTAACTATATTATTACATGTAACTAAAGATTTAAGAAGGGGCTTACCGAGAGACGTTATCAAGGTGTCGCACTTAATTGAGTAATCTGAGTTCAACTTCTACAGGTAAGTCATCACCACCTATACATGATAGTTTTAAATAATTATGGATGTCTAGCTAATTATGGATTGATATACTTGCTCCATTACTTGGAAGTGTATAGCATGAGATTTGTGTAAACTCCAAGCTAAATGTATGGATTGACAGGTGTGTAAATTGTAAAGTTATTGTGTTATCAAATATGAAGTATTCAAGTTCTAGGAATTGTATGAAGTAATTATAAGTAATGTTTTAAGGTAGCCGTGCCCCCAAGTAACTACCTGAGCTGAGCGTAGCGGGACGTCCTTCCGCGGGGAGTCCCGGGGTTACTTCTGATGGGCTGCGGGCTAGCTACCCGAGATCATTGGCGAGGGGCCAGGACACGAGCTACGGGCCCATAAATGAAAAGGACAAAGTGAAGAAAGAATGATGTATAAGGAAACTTTTCGTTAGTTTCGATATTTGAAGCTTTGTTTGCCATGTTATATGTTTTGTATGTGGTTATGCAAAGTGCTTTTGAGTATTATAGCTTGTGTATCTATTTATGGCTAGCTAAGACTCCGTTATTTTAGTGGATATAATGGTGACTTACTAAGCAAATTTTGCTTATGAGACTTCTATTCTCTCGTGTTCTCATGTATAGGAAATGAATAAAGGATGGAAGCTTGAGAGAATGTACAGAGCTGGTGACAGGGTTTTGGATGGGTTAACGGAGAAGACCTGGCTGGTTGTTATGTTTTGTATTAGTACTTTGATACTTATATGTTTTGTTAAAGGTTTTGTTTTCAAAACTCCTGATCAGGTGTAATAGTTATGTTTACGGATGGTTTATCTTGATTTCTTTATGTTTTCGTTAAAAAGTTTGGTTATGTATATAAGAAATAAAGTTTCATGAGGAGACTTTATATCATTACTTCCGCTTTGTATATCGAGTTTGTTCATGTTTGAGTATCGTAATGGTCGTTTGGGGACGATCGTTACAGTTTGGTATCAGAGCCCAGGTCCTTCCGTAACTCCATCCATTGCCACACACCGCTCGACATCTCTCAGGTAAGTGAGTAGTTTGAGGCATATAAGAATAACCACAAGTTTCTATAAGTGAATTAATTACAGATGTTGGATATATATATATATATATATATATATATATATATATATATATATATATATGTGAGTGTGTGTGTTGTTACATTTGTTGTTAAATTAACTCTCTCGCACAGAATGACACGTGAAGACCAAGGTAACGAGGATGGTTCGTCAATAAGTAATGCAGAGCTGGCCCGTGTTGTAGCTGAACTCCGAAGGCAAATTGCTGACCAAAACATCCTTATTGCGCGCCTAACAGCTGAGGCAGGAAGCGGAAACAATAATAACAACAATCAACATGAGAATGAGCACTATAATGACGGGGGAAGAGGAGGGCATCAAGAGACAGGGTGGAACGAGCTGGTTCGTCGAGAGCCATTACTGATCACGTGGAAGAAGGCACACCCTGAGGACTTTGAGGGTGGGGCCGACCCCCTCAAAGCTCGAGACTGGTTGAAGAAAGTGGAGGGCCTAGCCGAAGGACTCGAGTTGAGGGATAACGAGAAGGTCAAGTGTGCATCTTATAGCCTGACGATGAGTGCGAGGACCTGGTGGGAGACAGTGAAGCAGAGAGTCAACACCGCCACCATGACATGGGAGCAATTCTCAAGGGAATTCAACGACAAATATCTAAACCCCAGCAGGATGACAAAATTTTGGGATGAACTCCATGCCCTCACCCAGGGTTCGATGGATGTGTTGGCACTGGCGACCAGACTTACTGATCTCTTACAGTTGTGTCCCACCGCAGCTCCCACCGAAGAAGATAAGACCAGAATATTCTTGAGAGCGCTGAGGCCGGAGATAGCTGTCCATGTTAGGAGGGGCAACGCGACTCCAGACACCTTGACTGAGTGTGTCAATGTTGCTACTCAAGTGGAATACTATGTTTCAGCTTTACAGACAAGTGTCATGACCTCATCGGTGACTCAGCGTCCGTCAACGCAGAACTCAGGTGGAGGGCAATCGCAAGGATGGGAAAGGAACAAGAAGAGGCCTTATTCAGAGTCCAGTGGGAAGGGATCAAGTTTCACCCCATCCCGTCAGGAGAAGATCGTACGACACCCATTGTGCAATAAGTGTGGCCGCAACCATCCCGGGCAATGCCGTTTTGGAGGTACGACTTGTTACATCTGCGGTCAAGAGGGCCACTTTGCTAGATCTTGTCCGCGAAGAGGGCAACCACAATCATCGGGTGGCAAAAACATAGCTAGCTCCGGGGCAATCCACCATATGCAAGGGTACATTGAGGGTCCTTCCATTCAGCAAGGGAGGTTGGAGGCACCACCAGAGGTTACCACCGCAAGGGTGTACACGCTGACAAGAGAGGAGGCGTCTCAGAATCCCAATGTGGTCACAGGTCAGGTTTCCATACTAAACATCAATGCTAATGTGTTATTTGATACCGGAGCAACACATTCCTTTGTTTCCAAAACATTTGCCAATAACATTGAGAGACCAAAAGAAGAACCAGAGTATAGCTTTTCAGTGTCCCTTCCATCAGGTGAGACTATGTGGTCAAGTCTTTGGCTGAGAGGAGTACCATTATTACTAGCAGAGAGAGTTATACGCAGATTTGGTAGTGCTGGATATGAATGATTTCGATGTGATATTGGGAATGGATTTCCTTAGTAAGTATTCTGCCTACATCAGCTGTCGAACCAGGAATGTACGGTTTAACCAGATGGTACAGAGCCTTTCGATTATCATGGAGATTCACATAAATTGGAGAAGATAGTAATCTCTATTGTGAAGGCAAGGAGATATCTTCAGAGTGGGTGTCAAGCATTCTTAGCTCACGTGGTGAGTAAAATTGCAGAGAATGAGCCTAAACTTGAAACAGTAGCCATTGTTAAGGAGTTCCGAGATGTGTTTCCTGAGGATCTTCCTGGGTTACCTCCACCAAGAGAGATAGAATTCGAGATTGAGCTCATACCGGGAACCAATCCGATATCCAAGGCACCCTACCGTATGGCACCAACGGAACTAAAAGAATTGCATAAGCAACTACAGGAGTTGCTCGAGAAGGGTTTCATCCGTCCCAGTTTTTCTCCGTGGGGAGCTCCTGTGTTGTTTGTGAAGAAGAAAGACGGGTCTATGAGGTTGTGCATAGACTACAGGGAGTTAAACAAGGTTACGATCAAGAATAGGTATCCCCTACCGAGAATAGATGATCTGTTTGATCAACTGAAAGGTGCCACTACTTTCTCAAAGATTGATCTGAGATCAGGATATCATCAGCTGAGAGTTAAGAATGAGGATATTCCTAAAACAGCGTTTCGATCCAGGTATGGACATTATGAGTTTGTAGTCATGCCTTTTGGCTTGACCAATGCTCCCGCCGTTTTCATGGACTTAATGAACAGAGTTTTTAGTGAGTACTTGGACAAATTTGTGATAGTATTCATAGATGATATCTTGGTGTATTCAAAGTCCAAGGAGGAGCACGAAGGACATTTACGGGTTGTATTACGTACACTCCGGGAACATAAGCTATATGCCAAATTCTCGAAGTGTGAGTTCTGGTTGGGTCAAGTGGCTTTTCTTGGGCATGTAATCTCTAAAGAAGGTATCGCTGTGGATGCATCCAAGATTTCGGCCGTTAGAGATTGGGTCCGACCTATGAATGCTAGCGAGGTTCGGAGTTTCTTGGGTCTTGCGGGTTATTATAGGAAGTTTGTGGAAGGGTTTTCCAAAATTGCTCTTCCATTAACAACCTTGACTCGTAAAGGGAAGAGGTTTGAATGGACCGATAGGTGTGAAGAAAGTTTCCAGAAGATTAAGGAGTGTTTGACTTCTGCACCTGTACTCGCCTTACCTGAAGGAACTGGAGAGTTTGTGATCTACTGTGATGCTTCGAAGATGGGATTGGGGGCAGTTCTAATGCAGAATGACAGAGTCATTGCCTTTGCTTCTCGTCAGCTAAAGGATTATGAACAGAACTACCCAACGCATGACCTGGAATTGGCGGCAGTTATTCATGCTCTAAAGATTTGGAGGCACTACCTTTACGGCGTACAATGTAAGATCTATACTGACCATCAGAGTCTGAAGTATATCTTCACCCAGAAGGAACTGAACATGAGGCAACGGAGGTGGCTGGAACTGGTTAAGGACTACGATTGTGAGATCCTTTACCATCCAGGGAAAGCTAATAGAGTTGCTGATGCTTTGAGTAGGAAGACTCATGCATCGATAGCTCTGATGAAGACCATACATCCTGAGCTACGAAAGGAGATCGATGCATTTGGTTTGGAGATGGTGGTACAAGGACGCTTGATGGCTATTATGGCAACACCATCAATTTTTGAGGATATGGGAAACAAGCAAGAAGAAGATCCTAATCTAGTAGAAATCAAGAAAGGGATTCACGAAGGTAAGTCCTCTGACTTTCAGGTTGACGATAAAGGTGTGCTTAAATTCCGAGGGCGCTTGTGTATTCCAAACGTCGAGGAATTTAAGAAGAAGATTCTGAAGGAAGCTCATGGAACACCTTTTGCAATGCATCCTGGTGTAACGAAGATGTATAGTGATCTCAAACAAAGCTTTTGGTGGAAAGGAATGAAGAAAGACGTAGCGAAGTTTGTACAGTCATGTTTGACCTGTCAGCAAATAAAGGTTGAACACCAGAGGCCGGGGGGTGAGTTGCAGCCTATTCAGATTCCAGAGTGGAAATGGGAGGACATATCAATGGATTTCATTGTAGGCCTACCAAAGACCACAGGAGGATTCGATGGCATTTGGGTAATTGTAGACCGATTAACCAAGTCGGCCCACTTTATTCCCATTGCGGTAACCATGAATGTGGAAAAGTTGGCTTGGTTGTATGTCCGTGAGATAGTCCGATTGCACGGAGTCCCCAAGACTATAATTTCTGATAGAGACTCCAAATTCACATCACACTTTTGGGAGTGTGTGCAGCGGTCATTGGGAACAAGATTGAAGTACAGCACCGCCTTTCACCCGCAAACTGATGGGCAGACCGAGAGGGTCAATCGAGTTCTCGAGGATATGTTAAGGGCGTGTGCTATCGACTTTCAGGGCAGTTGGGTGAAATATTTAAGCCTCGCAGAATTCGCTTATAACAATAGTTACCAGGCCACCATTGGTAAGGCTCCTTACGAGGCGTTGTACGGAAGAAGATGCAGGTCCCCTATCACGTGGTTTGAGAGTGGGGAAAAGAGAGTAATGGAAGAACAACTCGAGGGTAGAACTGAAATAATCGAGGAGACATCTGAGGCCATTAAAACCATCCGACAACGGATTGAGGCAGCTCAATGTCGACAAAAGAGTTATGCCGACACTAAGAGACGACCCCTTGAGTTCCAAGAAGGGGATCGTGTCTTCGTGAAGGTCACTCCGATGAAAGGGGTGATGAGATTTGGTAAGAGAGGTAAGCTCAGTCCGCGATTTGTGGGACCATATGAAATTACCAAGAAAGTGGGTAAAGTCGCTTATGAGTTAGCCTTACCTGAAGAGATGGCGGGTATACATAATGTGTTCCACATTTCGATGCTCAAAAGATATTTTGAAAGCCCAGAACATATCCTGGTACCTCCACAAGTACAAACTCAACCGAATATGACCTACGAAGAGAGGCCCGTGAAAATACTTGATCGCGAGATTAAGAGACTAAGGAACAAAGAGATAGCGTTGGTCAAGGTATTGTGGCGAAATCACAAAATTGAGGAAGCAACATGGGAACCAGAAGATGCCATGAGGAAGCGCTACCCTGAGTTATTCTAAGTTTCGAGGACGAAACTTTTATAAGGTGGGAGGGGTTGTAACACCCCGATTTTAGTAAGCTAGTTATATTAATCATTTTATTTTTTTTAGTCAGTTAAATAAGTTTATTTTATGAATGATGTGATTATTATTAATCATGTATTGTTATGTCAGGTAACGTTGACCGGTAAGCTCCAGAAATCATAAATGAATAAGTAAATAATATGCTGAAATTATCAGTTTATATTTATCTTTAGAATATTTTTTTAATCAGGTTAAAATTCTACTTTCAGAACTATAAGCATTTTTTAAGCAGACTAAGACACCCAAATCAGTTATCTTGGCCGAATCGGTGTTGTGGTTAAGAGCCCTAAAAGGAGCAGTTTATACACGTAACACACCGCCTTTGTTTCTTTTACCAACAACAGTAGCCGCACCGCCTTATTATCGATCGGGAACCAATCTCCCTTATCTCCCTGTTTTTCCTCTTTCTTCCTCTTCATCCAAAGGTTTTCTAATCAGTATTTTGTTGAAGCTCCTTGGTCCCTTGTGTCATCGGCTCTTGTCTAGTAAGTTAATTATCACTCTTCTATGCTTTTGCTAAAGGTTTTACTCTCATGATTTTAGAGTTACGTTCAAAACGAGAGGGATGTTTTGGCCGGACAATTTTCGCTACTAAGGTCTGGTTTTTAAATCTGGCAGAATCCTTGTTGTCCGTTTGGAATTTTAAAAAGAAAATTAGGATTCAAAGACAAAACCTAATTTTGTTGCTAACGTTGTTAAAACCCAGGCAGCTGGACATTTTATGTCCTATAGCATCACCTAAATCTGATTTTAAGAGATTTAAGCTATTGGATAGATACTTGCTCAATTGTTTAGCATATGGGTCATATTGTTAATGTCTGATTTTGAATTTAAGTTAAGAGTTTAAGTTGCCAAATTAATATCCTGTAACCTCTTATTCGTATGGTGAAAAAGGATTTTTACATCCTAATTTAAAGTTCATATTCATACAAACGTATTTGAAGTTATTAGGAGCAGGTTTAAGGAGCAGGAGTCTATTTCACTTTGTTCATTGTTTTCCGATTTCAGAAAATTTAAATTCCTTTTACTCTTTAGTAAAAGCACAATTTAGAGTTTAAGTGGAAGTAGACTTTATTCATAAATGATGAGAACGAGTATCCTTTTGAAACTTTATGCTTACAGATTCTTAAGAAAGAAAAATCATTTTGTTTAAAGTATTAGTAAATGTTGGAATTTTCTAAAAGGATAGAATGTTCTAACTATATTATTACATGTAACTAAAGATTTAAGAAGGGGCTTACCGAGAGACGTTATCAAGGTGTCGCACTTAATTGAGTAATCTGAGTTCAACTTCTACAGGTAAGTCATCACCACCTATACATGATAGTTTTAAATAATTATGGATGTCTAGCTAATTATGGATTGATATACTTGCTCCATTACTTGGAAGTGTATAGCATGAGATTTGTGTAAACTCCAAGCTAAATGTATGGATTGACAGGTGTGTAAATTGTAAAGTTATTGTGTTATCAAATATGAAGTATTCAAGTTCTAGGAATTGTATGAAGTAATTATAAGTAATGTTTTAAGGTAGCCGTGCCCCCAAGTAACTACCTGAGCTGAGCGTAGCGGGACGTCCTTCCGCGGGGAGTCCCGGGGTTACTTCTGATGGGCTGCGGGCTAGCTACCCGAGATCATTGGCGAGGGGCCAGGACACGAGCTACGGGCCCATAAATGAAAAGGACAAAGTGAAGAAAGAATGATGTATAAGGAAACTTTTCGTTAGTTTCGATATTTGAAGCTTTGTTTGCCATGTTATATGTTTTGTATGTGGTTATGCAAAGTGCTTTTGAGTATTATAGCTTGTGTATCTATTTATGGCTAGCTAAGACTCCGTTATTTTAGTGGATATAATGGTGACTTACTAAGCAAATTTTGCTTATGAGACTTCTATTCTCTCGTGTTCTCATGTATAGGAAATGAATAAAGGATGGAAGCTTGAGAGAATGTACAGAGCTGGTGACAGGGTTTTGGATGGGTTAACGGAGAAGACCTGGCTGGTTGTTATGTTTTGTATTAGTACTTTGATACTTATATGTTTTGTTAAAGGTTTTGTTTTCAAAACTCCTGATCAGGTGTAATAGTTATGTTTACGGATGGTTTATCTTGATTTCTTTATGTTTTCGTTAAAAAGTTTGGTTATGTATATAAGAAATAAAGTTTCATGAGGAGACTTTATATCATTACTTCCGCTTTGTATATCGAGTTTGTTCATGTTTGAGTATCGTAATGGTCGTTTGGGGACGATCGTTACAGGCTCCCTTGGTTCGTCTAGCCCCCTCCGCGTCTCTACTAACCTCTACACCGAGAGGCGTTCGTCTTCGGCGGTTGGAGAAGATCTGGCACACCCGGGCAAGATTCCCTTCTACATAGGAGCTCCTCTCCTCTTCTCCCCATTTTTTTTTTTTTTTTTTTTTTTTTGGGGGGGAGGCAATCCATACTCTTCGTTCGTCCTTGGTCCCTGGTCCCACCGGCGTCCCTACTTCGAGGAGACGTCCGGTGTCCGCCGACATCGCAAGGAGGAACAGGTTTATCTACATCGAGATTCCCTGGTGCTTCGTTCGTCCTTGGTCCCTGGTCCCACCGGCGTCCCTACTTCGAGGAGACGTCCGGTGTCCGCCGACATCACAAGGAGGAACAGGTTTATCTACATCGAGATTCCCTGGTGCTTCGTTCGTCCTTGGTCCCTGGTCCCACCGGCGTCCCTACTTCGAGGAGACGTCCGGTGTCCGCCGACATCGCAAGGAGGAACAGGTTTATCTACCTCGAGATTCCCTGGTGCTTCGTTCGTCCTTGGTCCCTGGTCCCACCGGCGTCCCTACTTCGAGGAGACGTCCGGTGTCCGCCGACATCGCAAGGAGGAACAGGTTTATCTACATCGAGATTCCCTTCTTTAACGGTCGTTGGCAAGAACAGAGTTGATGAAAAAACAGGGGCCTTATTATTGACGACGTCCGGCCGTTTTACATGGTAGTGGGAATAATACAGGGACAACAGCCCCTAACTATTGATAGAACTTCTTCAAGTGTTCTACATTCCACGTCCCGGCATGGTTCCCCTCCAGGGTGTGGAGGAGGAACGTCCCCTGGTTATATCTTCTGATGACCCGGTAAGGTCCTTCCCAGTTCTTCGCCATTTTGCCGCCTTCGAGCGGCTTGCTCTTCTCTCTTTTCCTGAGTACGAGGTCCCCGACCTCTATTTCGCGGAATTTCACGGCCTTGTTGAAATATCTCTGGGTGGCCCTGTGATATTCTTCCATGCGACGAGCCGCTAGGTCCCTCCGTTCCTCGATGAAGTGGAGCTCTGCTCGTAGGTTGATCTCGTTGTCCTCCGGCTGGAAGTGCTTGGTGCGATGGGTAGGTACCAGTACCTCCGTCGGTACCTTAGCCTGGAATCCGTAAGCCAAGGCAAAAGGGGTTTCCCCGGTCGCCGTTCTTGGCGTCGTCCTGTATGTCCATAAGACATAATTCAGCTGCTCCGGCCAGGTGGAGGTGTAGTCTTCCAACTTCTTCTTGATCCCGTCCATGATGGTCCGGTTCATGTTCTCCACTTGGCCGTTGGCTTGCGGGTAGGCCACCGAAGCCTTAGAGTGCCTGATGCCCCATTTTGCCAAATATGCCTCAAAGCCTCTGCCGACGAACTGCCGACCGTTGTCTGTGATGATCTGCTCCGGGATCCCGAAGCGGCAGATGATGTTCTGCCAGACGAACTTCTGGCACTGGAATTCAGTGATGGAGGCCAACGGTTCGGCCTCGACCCACTTCGTGAAATAATCAACCGCCACAATGACAAATTTCCTTCCACCAGCAGCCGTGGGCAGAGGGCCCAGCAGGTCTACGCCCCACCTAGCAAAAGGTAGCGCGATGGTCATTGGGGTGTAGAAACTCGCTGGGCGGCCAGGGACAGGTGCATACTGCTGGCATACTGCGCACTTCCGCGTGTGGTTGAAGCAATCTTGCTGTATGGTCGGCCAGTAATAGCCCTGCAGGATGATTTTTCTGGCCAAGGTTCGGGGGCCCTGGTGGCTGGAGCAGATCCCTTCATGTATTTCCTCGATTACCGCCGCTGCTAGGCTCGGCGGGAGGCATCTGAGGTAGGGTCCGCCGAACGTCTTCTTGTAAAGTTGCCCATCAATGAGTTCAAAGTTGGGGGCACGCCTCTTTATCCACGCAGCCCTTCCTGTACTGCCATCATCTTCAGGCTCAGGGAGTGTCCCATCTCTGAGATAATCCGCTATCTCCTTGGCCCAGTTAGGTTCGGCAACGGAGATAACCTCCACCCGGATGACGTCCGTCGCCGGTGCTGGGAACACTTCCTGCCTAACGAAGCCTCTGATGTGTCGGGGGATGCTTGATGCCGGGTCATCGGTTGGGGGGTTGCTTAGTTTTGACAGAATGTCTGCCTCTGCATTCTCCACCCGCGATACCTGCTCGAGCACCACCTGTTCAAATTGGGCGGTCTGTTCCTCCGTCAGCTCTTTGTAGACCTTCATTCTCTCTTCCCTGGTTTCCGCAGTGCCGTTCATCTGGGTTACCACCAGCTGGCTGTCCATTCTCACCTTCAGACGAGCTGCTCCGAGGGCTTTCGCGCATTTTAGCCCTGCGATAAGCGCCTCGTACTCAGCCTCGTTGTTGGTGACCTTGAACTCGAATTTCATAGAGTAGTAGGCTTTGAAACCTTCGGGGGAAGTGATCACTGCTCCTCCGCCGCAGCCCCGCGCACTTGAGGCCCCATCGGTGTACATCTCCCACCAGTCGTCGAGGTCATTGCTGCCATGGGTTCCGTCCTCGGTGCGCGCGGTGCATTCCGCAATGAAGTCCGCCAGGGCCTGCCCTTTGATCGTCGGCCTTGGCTTGAAATCCACGTCATACTGGCCGATCATCAAGGACCACTTCGTTATCCTTCCGCTTGCCATTGGGTTCCTGAGGACTGTGGCGAGAGGCTGCGTTGTGTAGATAGTCACCGGGTGTGCTTGGAAATACGGTGCCAGGCGCTTGATGGATGCAATCAAGGCGAGGACCGTCTTTTCCATCAGTGTGTACCTCGTCTCGGGACCGTTCAGTGCCTTACTTACAAAGTATATTGGCCGCTGGACGCCTTCAGATTCCTTCAGCAGCACGGCACTCACGGCCAGATCGGCTACTGCCAAGTACATGTATAATCTCTCCCCGGGGTCTGCCTTGGTGAGGACGAGCGGAGAGGAGAGATATACCTTGAAATCTTCGAAGGCAGTTTGGCATTCCGGGGTCCATTGAAAGGGATTGGCCTTCTTCATGATCTGAAAAAAGGGAATCGCCTTATCAGCCAGCTTGGATAAGAATCTGCTCAGGGCCGCCAGACGCCCGGTGAGCCGCTGCACGTCTTTTAGGTTCTTTGGGGCTTCCATGTCCATAATCGCCTTCACCTTCTCCGGGTTAGGCTCGATCCCCCGCTCGCTCATCATGTAGCCGAGGAACTTGCCGCCCCTGACGGCGAAGGCGCACTTCTTCGGATTGAGCCTCATGCTGGCCCTCTCCATGATGTCGAAGACCCTCTCCATGTCCCGGACATGGTCCTCCTTTCTCTTGCTCTTGATCAGGATGTCGTCCACGTAAGCTTCCATTGTCTTCCCAAGTACGTCTTTGAACAACATCCCAATCATCCTTTGAAAAGTAGCCATGGCGTTCCTCAGGCCGAACGGCATGACGATGTAGCAATACACGCCGTCCGCCGTGACGAACGCCGTTCTCTCGGCATCATCGGGGTGCATGAACACCTGATGGTAGCCCCTGAATGCGTCCATGAAACTGAGCAGCTCACAGCCTGCCGTTTCATCCACCAGCAAGTCGATCCTCGGAACGGGATAAGGATCCATCGGACAAGCTTTGTTTAGGTCCGAATAATCAACGCACATCCGCCAAGTGTCGCCCTTCGGGGCTAGTACCACGTTGGCCAGCCACTCCACGTGGATGACCGGCCGGATGTGTTTGATGCTGAGGAGAGTTGCCGTCTCCTTCTTGATGAAATCGCGTCGGTCGGCCGCCATGTATCTTTTCTTTTGCTGTACAGGCCTGGCGTCCGGCCGCACGGCGAGTCTGTGGCATATGAGGTTGGGGTCGATGCCCGGCATGTCCTCTGGTCCTCTGGCGAACAAGACTCGGAACCTCCGCAGGACAGCTATGACCCCCGCCCTGATCTCCGGCTCTAGATCCGCACCAATGGACACCTTCCTGTCCGTCGGATCGTCGAGTTCAATTTCCTCCAGCAGAGTTGCTGGTTCCAGATGAGCGTCCAAGTCGGCCTGTTTGGCCTTTTCGGAGATGCTGTTGACCCGAGCCTCCCGCTCGTTGAGCTTCTCCATGGCCTTCGTGTAGCAGGCCCTGGCCATATGAGGGTCCGTACGTGCCACCCCCACTCCAGTGTCGGTGGGGAATTTGATGCATGAATGTCGTACGGAGCATATGGCCCCCAAGTCTTCCAAGCCGGGTCGGCCCAAAATGGCATTGTGGGCGCACTTCAGGCGGACCACGACGAACGTCATGCTGATCCGGGCAGTGTGAGGGCCGTCGCCGACCTCTACCGGTAAAACGATGGTGCCCTCAGCGTCAATGCAGTCCCCGGTGAAGCCGGACAGCGGGGTGCGTAGGGGGTGCAGCATGTCCCTCCGGAGCCTCATTCCTTCGAAAGCCTCCCAGTAGAGGACGTTCACACTGCTCCCGGTATCAACGAGGACGCGACGGACGATAGCATCGTTCACGTCCATGCTGATCACCAGCTCGTCTCTGTGCGGCGCCGGTGACATTGGCAGGTCAGCGGGGCCGAAGGTAATTGCCTCGGCTCTATTGCGCTTGGTGGGGGGTGCTGATACGGAACCCACATAGAGTGACCTCTCAAATTTTTTCCGCTCGGCGGGTGTATCCCCTGTCTCAGCGCCCCCGAAGATCACCTTGATCTCCAATTTCTTCTTCTTGCCCTTCGGGCCGAGGGATCCCTCCGGACGTTTATCTGCACTTCGATAATCCTCGTCCTGAGGTTCTGCCTCGCGCCGATCGTCGCGGCGCCATGTCTTGTGCCTTGAGTTCGGCTTCTGCTGGCTGTTTTTGTTCAGCAGCTGGGTGAACTCGCCCAGGTACCCCTGACGGATCAGCTCGTCGATCGCTTTCTTTAATTGGCTGCAATTATCCGTCAGGTGGCCGGTCCTCTGATGGTATTCACAGTAGGCCGATTGGTCGTGCCCCATATGCCTATTC